AAGCCAGCATCGTTGAACTCTAAAATAAAACTGGCACGTGCAGTGTCTTGGGGCTTTAAAGGCTGGAAAGCTGGATACTTCCAAAATTGGTGGGCTGATGCAGGAGCAAGAGGGGACCGAACTTTGGGAGACATCCCTGACAGTAACACACCAGCCTGGTTCGGAGAGGATTGCATGGACAGAGTCAGCTACGCACCTACCAGACTCCAGAGGATCTAAAATATTTATGTAATTTGTATAGCTGTTAGGGTGAGTGTAAATATTGTATATGGATTTTACCTAAAGCAATCTGTGATCCTTTAATGAAAAGGACATGCTTATACTTTTAATAAATATTAACTCTTTGCATATGCAAGGTGGACAATATTGCCTTGAAATTCCTAAATTATTGCCTGTATATTGGTAACGCTAATGCTAGGAACAACCAGAAGCAAATGTTACTTAGAAACTCTTCTTAAAGAAAAATGCAACGTAGAATGTAAGACATCCTTCATTTTTAAGATAGGCCATTTTAAGTATCATTATTCTAAAGCTGATTTTTTTAGACTGGTGTGCATTTACCTTTTGCTGAGGTACGTGTGTTTTAAGAAACCATTTTTTAGCCTTTGTTCATCAAGACTGTAGTGGGTTTACGGTTTCTATCTCAACGACTTATGCAAGATAATTAGTCTACTGCTTATTTCATGGTTTGCTAATTATTTTGGGAAAAAAACTGTATGTGTTTGAAACACACAAATGTGTTGGCTAAAACGAAAGGAAACTATCCTCAGACTTGAACAGTGATCGGATATTCATTCGTCTGTAATGAAATGGACTTTAACACAGGAGGATTTTTTTCTTAACCTTCCTACTAGCTAAAGTTGAAGGCAAATTTAATGAACTTTGGGGACTCTGCAAACACGTATGCATTGCTGATAATTCCCATAACAATTTTTGAACTGTTGGCATGTGGATTGTATTTGGAATACATGCAGACAGCATTTTCTTACCGCATTATGTGAGAATTTAGCGGTGCCATCTCTGTTCGTTACACTAGCAGGACCGAACACAACCACGAGAATAGGTAACATCTGCAGTAAGCTGCGTTTGGTTGGGTTGGGACACGGGATGGCACTTCCCACGCTCATCTGTGGACTCAGAGGAACGTACAGTAATACCAGTACTTGCCAAAATAATTTTTCAGGAGATTCATTTTTCAGGAAATTCATTTGAAACATACAAACTGTACTAAAGGTTTTGCATGTTAGATGTTTCTAAGAATTCAATCTGCTTGTTTAATCTCTTTATAATGTTTTTAACAGTTTTGTTCAAACAATTTAAGTTCATTTCAATCCTGGACTTTATTAACAACAAAAAAAAAAGAAAAAAGAAAAAAGGATAAATTGTCTATTCAGTCTCTCTTCTTAATTCACTGTATTTCTTAAAAAAAAAAATCAACCCAGTTCTAAACAAACTGGTAATATAATAAGCTTGTATTTTATCAAATGAACTGGATTTAATTTAATAAATTAAAATGTATTTTGGCTATTAGTTCTTTCCCAATTTTTTTTTTTTTGTAAAACATAACCCTTGGGTATTCAACCTTGCAGGACAATTTGTCACTGAATTTCTGTCTCGCAGAGCTGCACGTGCAGGACAGGACACCAAGCAAGGTGTCATGGAGATGGTCGACTGCATTCACAGCCATCAGCATTCAATTCCTTACACCTCCAGCTTACCTGCACCCCCAGCAAGAATGGCTTCCAAGGCACATTTCAAGCAGTGGCCCGACAGCTGATTTGAAAGCGCAGCTGCTTTCCAAAGGAAAGCTGTTGCTCTGCAGAATTCATAATCACTTATGGGATTTTTCCCAGACATTTTCAGAGGGAAAGCAAACTATTCAGCAAGCAGTCCATCAACATGAAGGGGAAAAGGGGATGAACCAATGATACCAACTTGCTACATTCACTATCGGGGACACAGAGGCTAGATCTACTCTGATGCAGGTGCCCACAGTGTGCCCTGTTAACAGAAAGGGACAAGCAACTTGCATTTCACCTCAGTTTCACCCTGCCGTCTCACACAGATAACGGGAAAATAGTGCTAGCTTTGAATTTTAACAGAGACTATTGCTTTACAGTTGCTCCCAAGAACATTTTAGTGAGTAAAGGTGCCTAAGGTACAACCAGCTTCCGCAGTATCCTGGTTTTGTCAGGGACAGAGTTAATTTCCTTCCTAGTAGCTGGTACAGTGCTGTGTTTTGGATATAGGACCAGAACAATGTTGATTGATAACACACTGATGTTTTAGTTGTTGCTAAGTAGTGCTTATACTAGCCAATAACTTTTTAGTTTCCCATGCTCTACCAACTGAGAAGGCTGGAGGTGCACAAGAAGCTGGGAGGGGGGCACAGCTAAACTGCCCAAAGGGATATTCCATACCATATGACGTCATGCTCAGTACATAAACTGGGGGAAGCTGGCTGGGGGGGCCGCTGCTCGGGGACTGGCTCGGCATGAGTCAGCGGGTGGTGAGCAATTGCACTGTGCATCACTTGCTTTGTGTATTATTATTATTATTACATTATTTTACTTCAATTATTAAACTGTTTTTATCTCAACCCACGAGTTTTCTCACTTGTGCTCTTCCAATTCTCTCCCCCATCCCACCGAGGGGGGGGAGTGAGCGAGTGGCTGTGTGGTGCTCAGTTGCCAACTGAGGTTAAACCGTAACACCCAGATAGTGTGATGCCAGCTCTTCTAGCTATGCCTCAGAAGACTTCCAGGAGAAAGCCAAAGGCTCATGAGCTGTTGCCTGGCTCCAACTACAGGAGGGATGAATGGAAAGAAAACCAAGCAGGTACTTACCACTGCAAGGGACAGGGTGATGCAACTGTCTGCTGATGTCTGCAACATACCTGATTTTGCACAGAAAGTGCCTGCCTCAGCCAAATCAAAAGGCATCACACCAAGTTCCTCTGAAGAGGGCAAATCTACACAGGTTTTGCAGGCTCCAGGGAGTCACGATGCCGGGACTGCTTCCAATGCTGCTCTCACGCTAGTATTTGTCTTCCCAGTTGCTCTGGGTTCACATCCAAGTCCATCAAGGCTTTCCAACTGTGAATCACACTGCAAACAAGGGTTATTTGACACATAAAGAAATATCCTTTAAAAGGAAGGTTTTGCACCTGAAGCATTATAATTTACTACCAATAGGGTGACACTGAACATGCTTGCTCTGCTCCATCTTGCTGACACCTGGCCTGTTGGAATGCTGAGCGTGAGCATTGTGCCAGCTGCATCCACTATGCCAGGGAGCTGTGAATACCCGCACTTCCACATGCTCAGGTGAAGCTCTGATGTGGGAAATTACTCAGGACAGTTCTCTTTACCTGAACTTGAAAAGTTCACAAGCAGCACATTAATGATTTGCCTGCTTTCATGAACTATATGTTTCTCTTTGCACTGCACTAATTTCTTGGAGGCTGAACAATCAGATGCAAACCTATCACCTCTGCCTTATTCATACCGATTTTCTCTGTCTGCCACTGCAGTAATGTACGTTCCTAAGGACCAACCTGGTTTACCACAAATGGATGTTGGTGACATGTAGCCCAGAGAGGCTGTGTTTGTTTTCAGGGCAGAGATGGCACAGAAAGGACAGACGATCCCTCATTCCTGGTGGCACAGGCTTTGGTGTCACTAAGACTGCACCCAGCGACCCAGACACACTGCTTGCTCCTGCACCGGCTCCGTGTGCAAATGACTTCATTTCTAAAGCGGATGGTCTGGCACCTTCTGAGCATGCTGCATCTAACCACTACGTCCTGGAGATGTGCTCATGAACTGACGGTCAGGGCTGCAGCAGCCAGGAGAAGGGCATCATAGTTAGCATCAAGGGCCCAGCTCACAGGGCGCAGTCAGGCTTCCTTGGCCACGTCGTCGTCATTTGTTTGGCTCTGGCAGTGTAAAGGCAGTGCAGCGTGTGCTCATTTAGAGGAGGCGCTTGTATGGGATTTAGTACAAACAAGAACAAGTTTTGCAGTATTTTGAAAGACAACGGAGCATTAAGTCTGCTCACATAGACCTATGATTCCTCTCCACAGCCTGAGGAAAACAGAGAAGTTAGCTTTTCTTATTTTTTTCCATTTCTTTTTGTATCAGGTGCATGTGCCCAGGTGGTGGCAGCGGGGCTGTGGCGTCTCTGTGAGGAGAGGCCAAGGCTGCCCCGTGCCGGACACAGCTGGTTCCAGTGGCCCCAGGGCAGCTGAGGGAGCTGAGCCCTGCAGAGGAGCCGTGGCACCCCTGTGAGAGCATGCTTAAGAAAGGGAGGAGGAAAGACCAGCAAGGAGGTTAAGGACTGTTAAGGGCAACCCCCCCATTTCCCTGCACCTTTTGTGGGGGGAGAGGAGGTGGGAATCGGGAATGAAAGACTGAAGTAGAGTCTTAGGAAAAAAAAGGTGGGGGGAAAGCTGTTTTATTTTTTTTGTCTTTGTTTCTCACCATCCAACTCTATTCTAATTGGCAAGAATTTAAACTAATTTTCCCCAAGTTGAGTCTGTTTTGCTTATGACGGTTAACTGGTACACCATGTCCCTGTTTTTATCTTGACCCACAAGCCCACAAGCTTTTTCATCTTATTTTCTCCCCCTGTTCTGCTGAAGGGGAGTGAGAGAGCAGCTGGGTGGGCATCTGGCAGCCGACCAACGTCAATCCACCATGCTTTTCAATCTTCCACACAAACCTATTACTTGCTGTTTAAACAGGCTGCTCTGGAGAATGAAAAGTTGGAGAAGCTAAGCTTGCTGAGCTCCTGGCTTCCCTTCCCCCAACCTCCAAAACCAAGAGCTTTTTAAAATAACTAGAAAAGGGAAAAATTACCTTTTCCTTCAGATCAATTCCACAACTACCAATTTTTATCCAGAACTAACTAAAACATTCTGAATATACAGAGCACACAAAAGTCTGTGGATTTGGAGAAACTTCTTTGAGTGACACGTGACAGTCAAGACAATCCTATCACAGCTAATAAAAGAATTTATTGTAAACATACGTATCTTACACAATTATACAGTATAATACAGATAACATGAAGGACTTAACACTCAGCATTACAAATAGGCGCAATATTTGTAAAGAGATCTTTAACTTGTATCAAGACTCTTTAGAAAGCCAGAGAAATATACCGTAACATTTCAACACACCGTATCATCTGTAGCGTCCCACACACACCTGAACGGGTGCATGAAATTCCACAACCTCTAACTTATCTCCAAGCAATTCCTACAGGAACTTCTTGCCAACAAATTTTTCTCCCGCCACTTTTCAAAATTCAAAGAACTTGTTGCAAATGTTTCCTACATCTGAAGGACTAAACAAATGTGTTATTTTCTATCTGCTTTTAACAGATTTTATTTTTCTTCAGCAAACTTTATATATTATTAATATAGCATCTCCTAGGAGAATAACCTGTGATTGCTCAGAAATGTAGCAATAGATCTCCACTGCAAGAACCCCATTAAGAACAAGGGGCATTTACCTGCCTGCTTCAGGGCCAGGTTCAGGACTCATTCTGAAACTCCATTCCTCACAGAAAAGCAGGACACAGGCGAGGAAGCCACAATTTGCAAACAGATGCCCAAAGATGAGCTTCTGCACCCTCAAGAGCTGCTCTGGGCGTATCAAAATCCCAGAAACTAAGCCCACAAGAGACGGGGGCTGGAAATGCATGTGTCATTGCAGAAGATCATAGCATGACTGAGTTTGCCCAAAAGGCTGTTCCCACACAACCTGCAGGCTGTCATAGCGATAGTGACAGATATCTTGAAAATGCCCTTCTCTTTTGTAAAAGCTGTTTACAGGGATGCCTGAAAGCAGTATGGACTTTGAGTTCACTACAGCCTACAAACAAAGTGTGGGGCCTGCAGTTCCCCAACTACCTGGATTCCTCCTGACTCTCAACACTGAGCTCAAACATAATCATCACTGCTCGACTCCTTCACACTGACCTCAGCTGAAAAACTAATGTCAGGGCTAAGCTGTGCACTTACTTGTGCAGGCAATCCTGCACTCCACTCACCCGAACAAGCCAGGATTATCTTTTGAATCTAGAGCATGTGAAACGCCCTTTCTAGGGGGCATTTAAGTCCTTCTCTGAGTGCTGTTTGGATTTCATCCATTGGTCCCATTTCCTAGACTCAAGGGCCAGGTTCTGCCATTCTTATTCAAGCGAACTATAACTCCCTGTTAGCTCTGATGAACTGAGGGGGGCTTATCTGCAGACCCTAGTTTTATTTAAGGTGGAGAAGACAGGCAGTATCTCATTTGAGGTACATAGTACCTTCTTCAGTTTAAGAACCGCATCAAACCTATGTTACTCTCCTTGGAAGCCTGAAACCACCCTCTAAACTGAACCATCTTCCACAGTTCCTGCACACTACTGGAGTTACCATCACCTGTCTTCTAGCCCCAAAAAAAGCACCAAAAGATAACATTTTGAAGATTTCTGTTCCTACCCCAGGCCAGGAAAGATAATTGTAGTTTAATGTTTATAAAAGGCTTTGTATTGTCAAAGCACGGCACCAACAAGAGCGAGGCCTCAGTACACCCCTGTGAGGTAGGTATCCTGCTCCCCATGCTCAGAGATGGGGAAACTGAGGCACAGAGTGATTAAATCAAAGGCCATGCAGCAGATCAGAGACCCAGCTGAGATCAGTGCATTGGAGGTTCTGGCTGTTTGACCCATGCTCCACCTCCACCCACATGAAAGCACTGCCTCACAAAACAAGCACTCTGAAAGCATGACAGTCCAACAGGAGTCCCACCAACTTTACAATGGCTTATTCATGCTACCAGCAAGCACCCATGGGGCAGGACAAAGGGGTGGTGGATGTGGGGTGGTCAGGATGTTGCCAGCGAAGCCTTCTTCAGCGAGGTGTTGATAGCCAGGCTGCAGACATGTCTCCTACACCAGTGATGTTCCTGAGACAGGTAAGTGCTGGGGTTAGTAGCAGAACTTCTTCCTGCAGTCAAGACATCAGAGGAGCTCCCCACAAGCAGCAAATCTCTTTTTTTTATCCTATCAGGCCTCTCTGTGTTGAGCAGAACTTAAGCCAAAGTGGTGCTGCTCCCACAGCACTTCACAATCCAAGCTGATCATTAGTGAATGCTGTCAAAACATTAAGACTTGTACAACACAGCTGGTCACCTGCCCTCCAGCACACTCCAAACCTTCTGGCAGCTCGGGGAGCCACTCGCTGGGCAAGCAAAGGGTTTCAGCCAGTCCAAGCCCACAAACACTGAATACAGTCCTTGCTCCTCCCCTTTCCCATGCAGGACAAGTGGTCAGTCAAATCTTACCAAGCCTGACCATGGGTTCTTCATCTTGACTGAGCATGTGCCAGTCTACCCTTTCTGAGGTGACTAAGAAAGGTGACATTTGACACCTCCTCTAGAGAGGCAAGGAATTTGGTTAGGTGACAATTAGCTGAATAAGCTAATGATAAGCCTACCCAGCTGTGTCCTCCGTCACATACATCATGCTCAAGCAGGACTGGCAGGATTTATTGCAGCCATCAGCCTTCTGCTCCCCTACACCCAAACCTAACCAACCAACCCACCCATCTACTCAAATAACCCACCTTTAAAAGCTGCCTTTGACTTTTCTCATGTTCAGAGTACCAAAGCAACTGTTCTGCCCACTGCATGGGGAAATCAACTCGTATGTAGACTGCATCAAAAAACCATAATTTCTTTTCTTAAAAAAAAAAGTTCAATCTCATCAATACAGCTGTCTCAGAGGGACTAGGCCTGTGGAGTCTCTCACAGCTAGCAATTCGATGCAAACTGACAATGTTTGTTCAGCCACTGAACATACACTTACCAAGTAAACACTGACATTTAACAACTTGATTTGGAACAGAGCATCATTTTGTTGCATTAAGGTGCATCTTTAATTGGAGGTAACAATCTAGTAGCCCAATGTTATAAATGTATATAAGAGTGTCCTACAGAAATACTGGATTTGTCTACCCAACTTCAGTCATAAATCCACCTTTCCTGTAGCATCTTCTCTGCTCTATTTCATTGTTCCTCATTTAGTATCTTCATATGTTTGTTTGTGAGGAAGTCAAGAAATGGAATACTACAGATGGCTTTGTGAATATTCATCACTGTGATCTCTCTTGGAGTCCTGCAGGGAATGCATCAGAGATGCTATTATAATACATAAAAAGACACGTGTCCATAAAGCAGCAAGTCAATAAATTTACTAACAGGGTGAAAAAAAAAAAGAAGAAAAAAGATCAGTCAAAAAAAGGGATAAAAGAGCAGGTGTTACAGCAACACAGGAAAAGCATTAAAATGTCACAGCACAAAAAAGTCACTCTCAAATGACTGGGGGAAACATCTTGGGCACTGGGACAGGAAAATCAAGTGCTGAAGTATTAATTCTTGAACTTCTATAGCACAGACTATGTGTGTATATTTTTATATATAACATATATATATATTTAATATATATTATAAATATTTATATATTGCATACAAGTAAATATTTAAACTAAGCATTTTCTCATAGTGGTGTTTTTTTTTTTTTCTTTTCAATTTCAAGCTATTCCAAATCATGGTGCTGAACAGAAAACAAAATGTGGCCTAACTGTTACCATAAAAATCACTCAGTATCTGAGCCAGAAAAGAGTATATCAGTAAAATAAAGAAGAGATTATTTAGGTTGTTTAAGTTCTGTCTGGCTATGGATAAATTGTCTACAAGGTAACCTGAGATGGACAAGAGTGAGAAGGTTCTTCCAACATGGCTCTGTAGAAACAGGTGATAGAAACCAGAGAATCCTGCCTCAGGTTTTAATGTTGTCTGTTATTACTCCTTTGCCACTATGGAGCTAAAAGATGACAAACCCCCTCCTAAGGCTTGGATCTTCCCAGAATATAGTTCATGAATTCTCTCAGTCACATGGTCTGAGCTAATCTGACTAAATTCCTCAAGCAGTTCAGCCCTTAGTGCTCGCATAAGTGGTCTAAGAGGAAACAAGCTGCTCTACCTGTTGTGAGGAGCTGTCTGGCATGCCACAGCCAGTGCTTGCCGTAGGATATCACTCATAAGCTGTTCGGTGGCCTGTGACAAAAGACAACATTAGGAGACAGCATTATGAAAAGGGGAAAGGAACATGCTATTCGCTCAAGTATCAGTGTAAGAGCAGTTGAAATTCTGGCTCACTTCAATCCTGTATTCGTACAGCAGGGGGCTGTTCAAGATGCCCAGGTGAGTTTTACTGGCACAGTAATAAGAACTGAGTATATTTTACAGAAAGAAAGAGACCTATAGATGCACAGAGCTCAGACTGCAACTGCCCAGTCTGGTTTCCCTCTGGACCTACAGAGCAGTATGTGCACAGCAGGGTGGATCCAATGTTCCAGAGCCTGTGCCTCAAAGAGCATTTTAGGGCCCTGCCTCTCACACACCAGAAGTTGTTTTGTACACGGCAGATTCCAGATATTCTCCTGGGAGCCAGTATATGCTTGTTAGCCATCCCCTGTGGTCACCAGGCTTATGTTAAGACGCTTTCACAAAAACATCCCAGCCTCGACAGCAAGCAGATGGCAGCCGTATGCCCTACACACTTGGCTTAATCACGGTTCAGTCAAAAGCTAATTAAGGCTTTTGGCTTTCTGTGCCTGTATCAAGACTAGAGCAGAGGTTTCTGGGACGTTCAGTCAGGAAAGCTGGCATTAACTCTACAATTGTAATGGAGCAATCTGATGGTTACAATCTGCGTCTACAAGTTGATGTATCTGTATCTGAGTTCAACTATGATAAGTAACAGAGAGCACAGCAGAAGTATGCATGCATGTGCATGTGTGACCCGGAATTAATTAGCTTTTGTAAAACTGATCTTCCGATAAGCAGCAGTCTGTATAAACAACCCCAAAAATTGTCTTTGGCTTGAAACACAGCAGAGCACTGCTAAAAATAATCTGTGTTAGCCTTCAGTCCAAACCCAAGAACTTCAATTCCATGCTGTTCAAAGCTTTGGTAAGAAACGGTCTCTGTTTTTCTAAAATTCATTATGATAGGTAAATGGTTTCTCGTACAAGGCAGAATTGCTGCTGTCTGCAGGAACTCAGCAGTCTCCCAGTAGAGACAACCCAGGCAAAAAGGAACTCAACAGTATTTAGGAAAAAATAGCTAACCTCTTATAAAATAATCAAGTCTTAAAGAACTCTGGCAGATTCCTCCCCCATGTCCCCGGTTCTGAAGGGTGGGACAAAGTAAGGGGTACTTTCAAAGTTACAGAATGAGTCAGTATCTTGCTGGAGGTGAGAATCTGCAAATCACTATTCTGTGTCCAAGCCAACAAATCAGTTAGAAAGCTGGAAACACACACAGAAGTATATGACACTCTTTGGAAGTTATATATCCTTCTATACATGCACAAAGATAGACATCAGACTCTGCATTTCCTGATTTGATAAATGCATATTAAAAAGGATATTAAATCTTTTTTTCTACATTACTGGGTTAATACAGTTACAGAAAAGTTCTTAATGTGAAGTAATTTCTTACCTTTAAAATCATATCTTCTATTACTGATGCATAAACATTTTTTTGTACCTCAGCAGGCTGAAAAGAAATCCCTATCTATAAAATAGGAAAGAGAGAAAAAAGTTAATACATCAAATAACACAACCCACATTTTGCTACAGATGAGATGAGAATGAGATAACAGAAACCATCTATTACAAAGGATAGTTAAAAAACAAGCAAGCAGATACTGAGAACTTTCAGGCAGCGTAATCTCAGGCTTCATTAAAAAAAAAATCCAGAGAAAATGAAGCTTGACCATTAGAACAGCCTGCAGAAATGCCTCTAAAACACAGAAGAAACAAAAGCAGGTTTTAATTTTTGTTTCAGAAAGTCCACACAGAAACCATGCTGCATTGGGTATCTTTGGACTGAGAATGGAAGCTCCATTTTAAAACTGTACATATATTCAATCCATCTATTCATAATCTCCCCTGCACCTAACTATGGCAACTGAAACCGCTTTAACTCCTGGCACAAAAGTTCTGCATCAAGAGTGTTTCATCCCCCAGTCACACTCTCATCATGCCTGTGCCCTTGCCACCTACATAGGAAGAGACTAGATACACTGCAGAACCAAAGTTTTGTCCCTTGATGGCAGCATTTGAGGTGGAGACAGAGATCCTTTCTTTCTCCCGCAACTGCTGCATGCAAACGCCTCACGCTGCTCCTGTCTCTGCTGGTACAATGGCGAGCACTCCTTCCTACAAGCAGAGTCAGTCTCCTCTCTTTCCTTCCTGCTGCTGTGAAAGAAGACCCCCCTCTCCCTTTCTTTTACCCTAATTTGAATAGGGGGAAGAAACCCAAGCAGTAGAGAAGTTTGCTGTGGTCTTAGCTTTACCGCAACTTCTTTTCAGGAGCTGCTATTAAACAGCACTGCTCCAAGCAATGAGCCCAAATCTTTCATGTGATGGGACAGGAAGAATTCAATGCTAGTGCTCCTCTTCCCTCATTTCCCCTTGCTTCTAGCCTTCCAGGATGATTTTTCTGGTGCTAAGCCCTGCAACACAGCTCCTCTGAAACGATCTCCTGGCTGGCATGCTTCACTTACTCCTGCCAGCACTGGCCAGCTGAGTGTCATGAGTCAGAAGGTCCAATTTTTCCAGGGCATTTATAAAAACTTTCATAAAGCATCCAGAGGCCCATAGAGATGAAAAGCAGGCAACTAAATAAATGTAAGACCACAACTAGCTTAACAGAAATTCTTATTAGCTTTAGAATCATAGAATCATTAAGGTTGGAAAAGACCTCTAAGATCATTGAGTCCAACCGTCAACCCAACACCACCATGCCCACTAAACCATGTCCCTAAGTGCCGCATCTACACGTCTTTTCAATACCTCCAGGGATGGTGACTCAACCACTTCCCTGGGCAGCCTGGTCCAATGTTTAACCACTCTTTCAGTAAAGATGTTTTTCCTCACATCCAATCTAAACCTCCCCTGGCACAACTTGAGGCCATTTCCTCTCGTCCTTTCGCCAGTTACTTGGGAGAAGAGACCGACACCCACCTCGCTACAACCTCCTTTCAGGTAGTTGTAGAGGGCGAGAGAAGGTCTCCCCTCGGCCTCCTTTTCTCCAGGCTAAACAACCCCAGTTCCCTCAGCCGCTCCTCATAAGACTTGTTCTCCAGACCCCTCACCAGCCTCGTTGCCCTTCTCTGGACATGCTCTAACACCTCGACGTCCTTCTTGTAGTGAGGGGCCCAAAACTGAACACAGTATTCGAGGTGCGGCCTCACCAGTGCCAAGTACAGGGGCACGATCACTTCCCTACTCCTGCTGGCCACACTATTTCTGATACAGGCCAGGATGCCATTGGCCTTCTTGGCTGCCTGGGCACACTACCGGCTCACGTTCAGCCAGCTGTTGACCAACACCCCCAGGTCCTTTTCCAACAGGCAAAAGTTTATGATTCACTTATTTTTAGTTAATCTGGACCTTTTTGTGAATCATTATTTGATTCACTTATTACCTTCTCTGCAGTGTCCCTCACAAACTCTGATGCAGGCAAGGAAGCCAAGTAGAACTTCATCTCCTCTTGTTTCTCCTCCTGTTCTTTCTTAATGTTTATTTTTAATGGCTCGCTAAAGTTGAGAATGTCTACTTCCTCTTCGTGTTCTGGTTCTCGTTTCAGAAATTGCTGTAGTTCCTCTAGTTTTCGGCACAGCTCCTCACCACTGCTGTAAGATGAAGGGCATTCTGAAAAAGAAGCAATCAATTAAACACATGATATGTTATGGAAAGCTGTTTATAAACAGATGCACACTCAAAATATGGTAAGAAATTAAGGTAATTGGAAGTTATTTTTGTAGTTCCTACCAACCATAAGGATGAACAGAAACGCAAACAGTCACTGAGAGCCTTCTAATTATATCTTCATGACACTCATGGTCCTCTCCCTCATCTGCCCCTACACCAATCAAGAAGACTGCATGTCAAACAAAACTAGGCTAATGTGAGTCTCCTAAACATTCTCACAGAAGTTTTTTGACAACTGGCAAAGCAGTCTGATGCTCTTCAACTTTCTTGGAGAAATGGAGTTTTTACTATGTAGGCACCATGTAGCACTAAATCATCTTGTACATTATGAAAAGTATTATCATGCTTTTTAAGAAAAATCAGAAGACAGATTCGCAGTGGAATTACAAAAGGGTAACCTCTTCTCTGCATGCTCGACATGAGCCAGTAAAACCTTCAGTGAAAAGCTACGCAATAAACAGATTCTTTTCTTCAAAGACAAACACAAATCTAGTTATTTAGATACAAATATTAAAAGGTGGCTGTAGGCTTCCTTTCCACCTTCAACAACTGCAATGCAGGGCCAGACTTAGCAAAGAATAATCAAATCCATACACTTCCGTGAAATACCTTAAATCCCTGTATGATCAGAACAGAAAAACATTGTTTTGGGAAAGGGATTATCTGAAGGTGAAACAAGGGAGCTTAACTGTGAAGAATGGATGAAATTAAAGATGTATGTTTAATACATACTAAAATGGACTGTGGAGATCCCAGAGCTATGCCTAGTACAGTAACGTAGCAGCTGTAATAACACAACGTGAAGCTTCACACAGGCCAATTCACTTCACTTTTGGAGCTAAATTAACCCTCACTGAGCTCCACACTGCCGCTGCCAGTTTTGGCGGTTTTTTTTGTACCTGAACTCATTCACACTGTTTGCACAGTAAGTCTTTTAACAGAGGCCAAGCTTAACCAAGGGCAGAACTGTCATTACTTCCTATGCTTTTTTTGTGTGCCCATTTATAAATGATTACACCGTGGGGCAAGAATCATCTCTCATAAAATTTATCTACACTGGGCCTCCAAAGGCACCAAAGCACAATAAAACCCAAAAGAGGCCCTAGAGAACATCAGGACTGGTAGGGACGAGCCTCACTTGTAGGCTTGCCCTTAAGATCTCCAACTTCTGTTATTCCAGAGTGAATCAAGTTAAAAAACAAAGAAAGAAAGAATCCCCTTCTCCTGAAGAAGCAGCACATGTGTGTACATACACACAGTCTTGAGCCATTTAACAAACAGCGTCTTTGGCAAAAAGCAGCTTTCCATCCCCCCATACTCACCTGGCTCACTGTCTATCTGTGTCAGCACGTCTTCAATCGAGTCCTCATCATTCCGCAAGGTCTCTGGGTCAGGTGGAGTATAGCCATGGCATCGACACCAGTGCACCACGTGCTTTGTTTTCAGGGGTGTAACGTTGTGAAACCTGGGGTGCTTCTCTATGATTTCTTGTAGGATCTTTCTCACTGTCATTGCTCGTTGCCACTGTGACAAACCAAAGGGAAAGCTCATCACACTGGCTAAAATGTTTACGGATAGACTATGGCCCAGAACAATAACCCAGGTTGCAAGGAAAACAAAAGGAACATGATTTTCTCAGAAGTCAGAATGACAAGGAAAAACAAATGTGGAAGATGGTCCTAATCTTGATATTAGGCAGCTGAAGGCAGGTCATTTAAACTCTGCTTTCTCATCCGAACAAAACCTCAAGAAAAAGGGACACACATTTACAGGGGCCCAGACACATTTGTCTTGACTTGAACTGTCTCATCTCCCAGGCAACACCTAAGATGGCATAGTGCAAGAAATCCACTAGAGCAAAATATGCTGCTCAGAATTTTCATTAAACTCTTTAATCATTTAAGTTGGCAACAGCAGAGGGTCTAATCAGTTTTAACATCTTCCCTGTAAAACTCCATAGCAAGATGACAAAACTATGAAGAAACAGGGGGAAACATAACAATCACAACACAAAAAAGTCCAGATTAACCGAAATATTTATCTTCAGTGAACTGACAATCTATTTCAGCATGAGCATTGCTTATATAAGATCCCTCAATTCTCTTCCTACAGAAAGCAGACAAAATCCCATGAAAAGATGCACAAAGTATTTTGGTTAAAATTCCCATGACCGTAATATGCCACTGAGGAGTGATGAGGATAAAGTGCTAAAGGACAGTTTGCAAAAATTCTGATTTTGGAAACGCTTCAAGAACATCTTACTTTGAACCAACTGAAAAATGACCTTTAGAGACCCTTCTGCTTGAGAAAGTCTCTGAACAATAAACTGGATCACTACCTGGACACAAATCAGTGCATCTTGCAGTAAGGAATACTTCCGTTCAAAATGCGACAGACTGCTTCATAAAACAAGTCAGCCAACAACAAGGAAGGTTCCATAATTCAGAAATCCTTCTTGTGTCCCTAATGACTGCTTATGAAACACAGGAGAGGATTACCTCGGCTGCCCTCCTCTTCCCAATATTCCAGCTATAATACTGTTCCACTGAACTGGCACAAAAAGAGCTTGCATCTTCACCTAGAAAACACAAAGCCAAAAACAGTATTAAATTTTACTATGTGAAGTAAGATAAATTCTGGTTTTGATGTTATTTAGTGGAGAAGAAGAGGGAAACGTGTTTCATGCTCATAGGATCAAGGACTGTAATTCTTACAAATGCTGTGCTCTCTCTGAGCACAGCACACACACGTGCAGCAGACACTTTGGTTTTTGAATGCAGAATCAGCTTCCCTCTTGGTCAGGATATGCAGACATCTGTGGCTATGGGCTGTTTTAAGCCTCTTCTTCCCCCCAAAACTGTAATGAAGTAGACCTGTAAGTCTGTCTTACTGGTCAAAGTCTCTTCCTTTGGAAAGCATTTTTTTTGCCAACAAACTGCAATATAAAAATGAAACAGTGAACAGGTTTCCTGGCAAAAACATGAGGAGGGGATATGAATCCTAAGCAATGGATTCATGAATGCTACTGTAGGCCAGAGAGCTGTATGTAATGAAAGCTCTACTGTGCCGCCCACTCCTACTTCGCTCACTGTGCTTATCTTGAGAGGGTCTGCCCTACCCAGTCTCCAGGACTTGTTCAAAGTGCATTAGTTACCAGAGAACGCTGATACATTTTCAGCTATGTACCCGAGTAAGAGGTATGTAATTATAAAGTACTATAAAAGATTAAAAGGTTTCTCTGCAAACTACCACCCTTCATTTAAAAAAAAAGCAAACACCCCAACAACAAACACATTCCAATGCTGAGCTATGTTACCATATTTGCAAGCATTTCTGAAACCCTGGCATTAAATTGGGGTTGGGGAGGGGAGAAAGTACATCTATTAAGGACAAACCAGGGAAAATAAGACCTACTTGCAGCCGTTAACATGAGGAAATACAATCTATTTCTAACCAAAAACCAGGTGAAAGTTAGTAACTGCTGACAACATACTTGGCTTTATTGGAAGAACCTGATTCTAAGCATCTTTAGAATAACCCCTGGAGTAAGCTCTCAGAGAATGGCTTCATTTCATTTGCCTTTTAATAATTTTTGTGGCTACAGAGTATGCAAGGCATTCTGTTGATACACTGAAAACAGAAAGCAAAGGCTTTTCATTTACTGCTTACTTTTTTCAGCAATTAATGGAACCTTCTTCACTACTGCTGTTAAAAGCTGCTGGATGTTCTCCAAATATTCTATGCTGCAAGGGATAAAAAGAATCACAATGAAGAATACTGTTGGAAGCAATGAATCAGATGCAAAAGGTTTCAAAATCACTGCATGGTTTAAAGTCCCTAGCCCCAAGGCATTATAGCAATATTAGTATGAGGATAAACTGTTATGCCCCAATCTGGAGAAGGTATTTCAAATAGCCCTTCCACTTGCTGAAGTGTCCACATCTGAAGCTGCATTTGTCATGATGAAGAAACTGAAGACAGGCTTTTTTGGGCAGGCTTGGAAGAAATCACTGCATCATCTCACAATATGCAACACTACTTTGAGGGATACAACGCACTTACTAGTGCAGGCTGTCCCAGCAGGAACATGGGATACTGCATGGGAAGCTTTGTACTTATGGGAGTTTAGGTAAATTTTACTTTAACCAGCCATACTGTATTTATCTGGCAAGAACTGTATTTTCCATTAGTTATTTTATAACTAAGATAATTTCCAGTGTGTAGTGACTTAAGATTTATTCCTGTCTCCTACACATACTCTCCATCAGGGTAATGTCTGCAGGGATATGTCGGAATAACAAAACTTTTCAAAACATGGAGACAGGAAAGTCAGCCACTGGAGGAATCTAGAGAAGAAACATCCTACACATTATAAGAAATACGCAGAAAAAATTCTGCAAACTGAGTTCTGGTGAAAAAACACGAACAAGTACTTGCAAGCATCACAAACAAGGCACTGGATTTCACAGCCAGTGAACAAATACTCCAATGATCTTTATTATTTAATTCCAATTCTGAACCAACGCAGCCCTCATACTAAGTAATTACAGAAGTATATGAGCCTTACAAGACTAGAGAGGCAAGAATAGAGACAGTTCTACTTATTTCAGATGCCCCTTTTTTGACCTGCATTTCACTGGGCAGTTTGACCTCAGTAACGATACACAGTGGCAATGGGAATTATACAAGCAGTGGATGATAAAGAGGTTTTAGCAAACCCCAAAACAACTGCAAATTTTCAAGTAATTTTTTTCCCCCTTTCATGAGCCCTGCATACAAATCCATTTACAAAGAAAATATTGCAACACTGTCTGAAACAAACGCCAGCCAACAGGATTAGTACTGATACAGCAGCATATGGGACAGAAGATTTTATAATGTATTTCTAGGTCAAACTTAACACTACTGCACGTATCCCTAGAACCTTCTCCTTCCCCCTGGTATTTCAAAGATCCGAAATCCTTATAGAGAAACGGACAATTACTTGATAACATAATTCCCAAGTTCAGAGCTCTCTTCCGTTTTTACTGCTGCTTGGCCTTCTTGGGTACCCACAGAACTGCAGTTTTGTCCTGTTGAATCAGGCTCCATCTTAACTTCAAAGAAACAGAACACATTTTAAGAGACAAAAACTACCAGTCAGCTTGATAAAGAATGTCTTGTGAGTCTGCGGTGAGACTAAGGGTCTTACATAACATCACTTCATTTGTTTTTTGCATTCTGATTCTTGACCATGAACAAATCTGGCCTTCAATTCTGCTGAAAGAAAGCCACCAGAACATGTGTCCTCCCCCTCCAAATCTCAACACGCTCACATCTTATCCTTTTTAGAAAATTTGCATTTGCATAGTCAATTGCTGATGTTTTGCATATTACTGCCTGATCTAAGTTGACCTGCCCGCAAATGTACGTTGGCCTTCCTGTAACCAAAGAGCTGTACAGAAAACTAACAGCTTTAGCAAGAAATGACATTTCAAAGTGAGAACTTTTTTGAAGACATCATTGATTTTGACATCAGTGAAGTTCCTCACATCTAGGACAGAACTCTGGTGAGACAGGAGCAGGAGAGACAGAGATGTTCCCAACCCAGAACAGCCAGGCAGTCTGGTCATTCATCTGGGATGGGAGAGACACATGACAGTTCTGCAATAACTGGACTTTGAGTATCTCAGCTCTGGCCTATGCATTATTCTGGGAAGTACTGTATGTACATCTTTCCCCTGCGTGTGTGCGCACGCACACGTGCTGTCTACATCTAGTGCTGCTGGAAAGCATTCTCCAGTGCATTTCACCACAGGCACTATTCTGAGGACAGCAGTAACTGTGATTAAATACATGCTATGCATTTCTGCAATGACGGATTGAAACAATGAACGTTTAAGGTACTTACGGTAGCTTTCTAGAACATCCTCATTTCTCTCTGTACTTGCCTATACTTTTGGATTTGTTGAGGGGGAAGTCACTGTTAATTTTCTAGTCCCCAGATGCCACTTTTACTTGATTTAAACCCTACTAACGACGGAAATATGTTAGACCCCACAGTCACAGGGTCTGCTTTCATAGTTGGGCCACTTGCATAAAGCAGCACCAGCTTATTTCTACTACTTATCTTACTGACAAATTTCTTGTTACCTTTAGTGATGGATGCTGTAGAGGGACTAGGGACAACCGTACTTGCTGCTGTGACAGCTGTAACAGCTGAAACTTTGCTGGTAGAAAGTGACTGTATCACTGGAGAGGAACAGCAAAAAAACCAAACCAAACCAAACCAAAAACAAAACAAACAAAAAAAACATAACAAAGAAAAGAAAAAGAAAAAAAAAAATCAAACTTCATACACTTTGACAAATAAACATGTTCAGAAGCAAGACAGTGTTTGTAGCACAAAGTTTAGGGATGAATTTCCTTGCTACATTTTCTTCTATCTCTAACTTTGGACCATGTATGCCAACAGTGACCAAGAGCTACCCTGTGCCAAAGGGGATTTTCAAACACCATCTGTCATCCTCCTCTGCCCTTTACCTTTGTTCATAGGCATGAGTATTGTCTGAACACCTCCAGAAGCTGTGTTTACACCGAGCTGTTTAAGCTGGCTGGGAACTGTCAGAACAGCCTGCTGTGGACTAGACTGATTTGAGTGGATTTTTAGCAACCCTGCAAGAAGAACGGAAGACAAAACGTTAAATAAAACACACCATTTTGTTTATCTCCAGCTACTTCTCTCCCTTTCTGCCTGAACTAGGATGGCATGTAAGCTAGCACTGCCACCCTCTTAACAAGCCACAGTTCAGTGAACTGTCAGACAAGGTTTTACTGACACAAATGATTGCTAAAATACTGGGGTGCCGCACCACAGTGTGTGCAGTATTACATGCTGCACAGCACTCTGATATTTGTGAGGCAGGTTTCCTAATTACGTAAGTAACCTTAAGCAAAAGTTGATGCAACGCAAACCTTTCAAGTGAAGAAGGCTCAGCGCAGAGTAAAACACTCTTGTCTGAACAAGACCTTGTGCTCAAGGGTCTGGTAAGCCAGTGACCGACAGCTCTGTTGTACTTACACAGTCACTCTCACTGAGGTACCCAAGTGCCGCACACACCTCTGCAATTCAGCTTAGCAGCATCCACTGCAGTCAGCAAGCAGAGCACAATCAACCATGTTTTAACTAAGTGACAAGCCCAAGGCTGTGCAGCAGGCTGATGAAGGACATACCTGAACTGAGTGTTCTGTGTCTTTCTGTAACATGCACTGAATACATCCATAAGGATGGCTAATCAAGCTATGAAGCATGTTAAAGTGGGGACTGAATGAAATCACTGATTTTAGTCAAGGCTAAAAGAACAAGCAGGACATTCAGATATTAACAGCATTATCAATGGCAGCACCCAGTGACTTTGGTGGAAACCAGCAAGGCTCCAAGCTGTGCCACGATGCCATGGGTGAGGAGCACTCATCACCTCTCCACCAGCTCTCTCCTCCACAGTGATGACACCTCAAGCCACCACAGCCAGCACTCTAACACTGTGATTTGGCCCTATGTCCACCCTTTCCACTGCTAAACTGGCTACTTTCAATATAATTGTATTCAATCTATAGCTAACTTTTATTCACATTGTGGAAATTTAATAGGCTTCTATTTCAGAACATTGCCAACAGTACATTTCTTAGTTTCACGATGGTAATTTTATACTCACAATTTGTTTGAAGATAAAGTTTCCATTTCCCCCATAATTTATTATTCTTGTGTAAAAAAACATAACTGCCTTCCAAGCGCTAGACATGCAAGGTCTGGTGAAGATATCTTTTGGTTTGGAAGATGCATAGCACTGGTCAGTTAGGCTTTCACCACCAGGCAAGAAGGCTAACCTAGTATTACCAATTCATTTTTTAAACATTTTAGTTTATTTAAGACTCATTTAAATAAAAGCCCATATTTTTAGAATTAAAAATCTGACTGTTACACATCTCGGCAAAACTTTTTCTTCCACCTCCAGCCTTCTCAAACACACAGCCCCAGGATGGCCAAGCTCCATGGTGGTGGCTGGCTCCCTTTAATACACTGACCCCCAGCAGTTCTTCTGGGGACGTTAAATAGTGAACCAAAGGTCTCTTTTGGCACAGAGCCCGTCTCCAGCAAGCAATTAAATACTCATGGCTTTGCAAGTCTCTTCCCAGAACAGTTTACCACACTTTGAGAAAGTACATCATTTAAAAGTGTGCCTTGGGGGATGTCCCAAGTGTGTGATGCACAGATGTGTCAGGATAGCACAGCAAGGGACCCAAACAGCAAGGCAAGCAAAAAGGGACATTTTCAACTAAACCTATTAAGCCTGAAGGGTGGGAGACACTGTTCATTGCAAAACAACAGGAAATTATTTTTGAAAAGTTGCCTTTAAAAATATGAATCTCCAGAATTTTAACAGGGTTTGTCTTTTTTTGTTTGTTTGTTTTTTTGTTTGTGCCTGGTAATCTAAATTGTTTTCACTACAAAGTTAAGAAGTTGGTGACAAAAAATGAGAATACATTAAAAACACATGAAAATAATATGAAATAAGAACTGGATGATATCTAGCATGTAGTCCTGGTGTGCTCACACCTGAGGAACCAGGTGGAATACTGCAGCCCACACATCCTCTATGGCAATACATCTTTCCTTAGGCTTTGGTAAATTATCCATCCATACCGACATGCTCAGCAGGACACTTATATTCATTGGTTAATTTAACATTCACAAAGAGTGCAGTGCCATAGGGGAAGATGTGCAATGTGGGAAGGCTGGCGCCGAGGACTTGACGTACCCTCTGCAGGCATTTCAGCAGTTTTACCTTGGACTAGCTCTAGCAGGCTCCTGTGGATGAAAGACCCAGCAGTGGCTAAGTGCTGCTTTTGGTTTGTCTTGTCCAAAAGGAACCCAGTTTGTGCTCTTCCATACTGCTCCATGACGTAATCCAAAATGTGACAAATGTGGAGGCTGAGACTGGATTAAAAACCTCACTTCTAAACTGAAACAGTACTGTAAATTAATCCATTATTTTCTTTTATGCTGTTCAGCAGATCTGTGTCTTCCCTATGTCTTGCATAAGAAAGAGATCTTTTGCATCTATAAAAAGGAGGGTTTTTTTTTCAGGTTTCATATAAGTACTGATGTCTGAAGAATACCCAGATACTCAGGATAATAATGTTATAAAGGGCCAAGTTATGTTAAGTGTCTCTCCTGGGGGTTTTCTGCCCAACTCTAAGATTAAATTCTTACAAATTTTTAGAACACCTAACCACTGAGTGTCTGATCAACTAAGGTACTTTAAACTGTATAACATAGTTGCTAACAATTTACAAATTGCTTTCCCAGAAACTTTAATGTATTAACCATGTGGGTTACAATGATACTTCTAAAATATTTCTCCCCTTTTTAAAATTACAAATATCAGATAAAATCTTCTCTAACAAAGTACAGCCCCTCATTTTACATTTTATAGTATTACAATGTTTACAAATTTATTTCAAAGGTTTCTTGAAATATTAGTTAGTGCAATTGTATCTGTCTACCTATGCGGGGGGTGGAGGGGGGGGTGGAGGATCAAGAGACAGGGAGATAGACATACAGTTGGGTAGATAAAGGTACAGATTCAATCTTGATCTGATTGTAAACGTGAAGCAAATTTCCTGAAGTCAGTATGATCACTCTTGTCTGACACCTGTGGAAATGAGAGCAGAATGTGAACCTTAAAATTAAAAAAAACCCAACCCTATAGGAGTTATTGCACCTCAGAGTTAATTAATGTTCTTCAAATGACTTAACATTCTTGAATGCAGTATTTCTCTCCGTATAGCTGAGTTCTGTCATCTGGTGAACTGGTCAACTGCCAGTTTAAACACCAGTCACTCAGTAATACTTTACATAAACAGATGTGGAGGTGATAGGATTATCATTAAAATGTGAAACCCAAAAATAATTTTATGTTTATTAACAGACTTGGAGAAAACTTTATCATATTGCTAATAGAAAGATGTGCATGATTAGTGACAGCCTGAAAGAAATATAGATTTATTTGATACTGTATGTATATGGAATTATTCAAGAAAATGCTATATATACACGTCAAAAATGTGCATATTTGACTGGATCCATATCCTCTACTTCTGGTACACTAGTATCTTATGAAGGCCTGGATTCTGCAAACGCTTACATTTATTACATTTACTTATGTAAATAACACAACCACAAATATCATAAATATACAAATACACTGTTTTCAAACATGCTTATATTTTGTCTAGCATAACACAGCTACAAGTGTGATCTGAAATATCACTTAGTTTATTGCACTAGCTGCAATAATAATAATAATAAAAATAATAATATGATTAGTCAATAATAGCTTATACTCCATTATGTACGTGTATATATATGTATCTATCGAGTAATAAACTAACACAAGAAAAACTATTGTAATCAAAAACATGTAACAAATTATGTTATTTTTAATACTGTAATCATACTGGGAAAATCCAGGACAGCATATTATTTTCTTCTAATTGCATTTCATAAGTGCAAGAGTTGTAACAAAACAACAGATGCTAGGCATCGCTAGAGATGTGAATCTTTGATTTGTTTTTATAGCTGCTCTGACATTTAGGCTGTGGGCTTTAAGAGGAGATTCCAAGGCAAATGTTTTCATCACCATCTGACTCATTTTTGCCTGAAGGAAATACCAATTAAAAAAAAAAGGTAAATAAGGAGCAGCAGAGAATTATTGTGAGTCATAATTTCCTCTGGTGATTCTGCTTTGTTTATCATGAAATGTCTGAACACTAACTTTCACTAAGCATTACACACTTTCTTACACTCACACACTACATTTAGCCTGAATTGCCTGTGTTTCTGGCTGTGCACAAAGCTTCACACAGTCCTTATAAATCATCTCACTTGTCTAATACTGCCCTTATGGGTAAATTACATGTTCACTAGAAGACAGTAGCAACTAATAGAAGAAACCAGCAAAGAAAACGTGCAAAAAAATCCCCCACAACTCACAAGCAAAATGTCATTGAGTTCAATTACTCTGCCCAGCAATAAAAGCACATGATGGTGCCGTAGAGATGAATATAGCATGTGATTAGCACTGAATGTAAAGGCATGCACTGCCAAGGGGAAAGTGTTTATCTTCTATAATAAATTCACTACTAGATTTTGAGAAGATACCGTGGACCCTGTGTTCTGAGGGCCCCAAATGAGGATCAGAATCAGCCCTTATTTAACTACCTTCCAGGTTACACTTTGATTTTTTAATAATTGCCAGTGCTGGATCTTCAATAGCTCATTTTCTTATATCTATGCCTTTCACTGGAGCATAACAAAAGGACTTTTGAGGTGATGGTAGCCAGCTTCAGGGATTCACCTTCTTTCTCTGAAGTTGCCAGATCAGTTTACCAAAGAGTATGAAGCATAATATTTTCTTTGAAATTGGATTTTAAGTTATAACAATTTCATACTAAATGGTGGGCATTTATTAAATATAGCTGTGTACTGTAAATCAGTTCTGAATGGGAAACATATTTGTACCCCCTCACAAATACGTAAGTTGAAAGTTAGAATGTTTCCACCTTTTAGACGAAGAAAAGTCTGAAATGGTCTTTCTGTAGAAACTGAA